TTGGTCCAAGATCTCTTTTAATGTGCAATCCCCAACTATAAATAAATTAAAGAACAACAATTTAACTTTTACTGTATACTAATTAAAAACCATATACTCTTTTTAAAACTAAATCAATATTATTGTTTACAAATTAAATAATTAAAGAATAAAGTAATTTCTGGTCTATAATAATGTATTTGCGTTCACTAAAAAAAATAATTTTAAAAATCTTAATAATATTTCGAAAAAAATCCTAATGATAGTTTCAGGTCTAATTTATTCAGGTCTTATTTATTTAGGTCTCATTTATAGTTTTGCTACTTTGCCAAAGTTCTTAAACACAAAAATACTTGCTTCATTACTAAAAAAAAAAAAAAAATAATGAACCCATGGTCCATAATTTATTGTTTTGCATAAAAAAAAAAAATGTTTAGTGATTTTGATGATGAGGAAACATGGACCTGTGTTCAGAGATTGAACCAAGAATAAATTTTGTTCTTTATTTTTTGGTAATTGAACAGTTAAAATCCTGAATTAGTTTTACTCCTTTTTTGGCCATATCACTAACAATTCGTAGACTTTTTACAAATTTTACATCCTGAAGAAACTCTCCATTTTTAGTCCACTTGTCTGGATCTACAGTTGTCAAAAAAGTAGTTGCTAATTCCAAAAAGTTAAAAAAAATTCAAAGTATTTTCTGTTGCAAAACTTTCTAGTTGCAGATTTTTAATTGAAGTTAAATCAATTTTTATTCGTTTCTGTCGTTCATCCTCATTAGTAATTTTCAGAGCTAAAACTATTTTTCCTTTTGTTTCGTTACTGGCCTCATTATCAAAAAAAGCTAATTCATTTCTTCACTTATATACCGTAAATGCCTCGAAATTGATGTTGGATTCGAGGAATTGCATTCAAGAATTGTTTTCAAATAAAAAAGTACATCTTGAGCATGCTGTGAGAAGCAAAAATGTTAGAACACGTTTGATCATTCAGCGCTGTTTTATATTCTTCTTTATCAATTAACGGCCACTTGTCACGAGAAAGTTTAAATAATCCTATTTTAACGTTATGACCTGTAATAACAACTGCTAATCAATCAACTGAATCTCATCCAGTTATATCTGACAATACTTTTCTATCAGTGAACAGTCAATGGAACATTTGACGAGTTGAAAGTAGACTCGATGGTTGTAGTAGTTTTGTTTTGATTAGTAATTCTAGCTCTCCGGATCGTTTCGCGACTGATAACAAAATCTGAAATTTCATTTCCCTTTGCTGCAGCGGCCAGTAAATAAGTTGCTTGGAAATCTGTGACTATGGTTTGGTTAAGAGCAGATGCTAACTCAGGTGAATCGATAGTTTGAGATTAGCCTATTTACAACATTTTGACTAGATTTCCTTGGTTTCATGAATTCTGAAATCTGAGGTTTTAATGCCAGATGTAGACTTGTCAGATGGTTGGTGCATTAAATCAATATGACATGTATTTTCAGCTTCTTACTTTTGCTTTTCTTCCTGAACTTTTCTAATATTTACTTTTCTAGACACGCTCTTCTGTTTTCGCCAATGCCATGTCAACTCCGGCGATGTACCCTTTACGTTTACCTTGCTGATCCATTTGAAATAGCCATTCATCTTCAATTTTAATAACACTCATGGCATCAGCATGAACTATATCGAACATTTGATCAATTTCTTCGCAAAAAAAAATGCTCATCTGCTATTTGTGCTGCCAAAGCTTGTTTCATGTTTTTTTATTTTAGCCCATTTGTAAAAGCTTCATCTCGAAACTATTTGAAAAAATATTATATTATGTATTATATATATATGTATATAATAATGCTGAACTTAATAGTAATAGTAGTGTCCTTTTGAGCGCGTTTGACACAGAAGTCTTGGCAGCCATTGCAACCGAGGTAATGGCGAGAAAGATTCGCAGCACTTTTTGTTTAAGTAAATGTAAACAAAAGTGTATGCAAATATCTAACTTATGTAAACTTCAAACTATTTAATGTTAAAACACATATCAATTTTTACAGTTTTACATTGCAGTAACATCTCTTTTGATATATAGCATTTATTTCAATTTTATAAAGTCTTTCCTTTGTTAAATAGTTTTAAAATCTTCGTCAAACAACACGCTTACGTGGCCGAGTGGTTACTTCGCAGAGTTTCAGAAGCAAAGCTCCGTGTTTCGAATCTTATCACTGGAACTTTTTTATTTACTTTTACTTTTTTTTTTGATTTTTCTAAAATACAAAATAAAAACATTTTTGAAGTTTTATAGATACATTACATCTGTAAAGATACTACACACTGTAAAAAACGAAAGGGAGAGACTTTCTTTAAAAGCTCAAAATCTCTAAAAAAAAAACCGGAAGAAATTTGAAACTTGATAAAGAATGAAAATAATAACTTCATCTTGCTACTCCAGAAGGTGCTGCTGTGGAGGAAAAATATAAATAAAATAGTCTTTACCTAGCCAGAACTTTGAGGTGGTACACCACCAAATATTCTAAAATGTTCAAACTTAAAAAAAAAAGATGAATTTTAGTTGACTTTTATTAATAAAAATTCATCTTTTTTTTAAAAAAAGTTTCATTAATTTAGAATGCTATTTTAAACTTCATTTTACTTTGCCTCGAATTTATCAAAAAATATTTATTTTAATGGGTCTAATTAAAACACGATAACTTAAAATATATTAACACAACATACATGAAGTTTTTTACATATGTTTGGATTTTATGATATTTCAAGTACATAAAAAATTATATCATTTTTTTTACATCAAGTAAAAAAAAAAACAACCTTTTTTAGACCTCGAAAATTAAAAAAAAAAAAAAAAGATTGGAGCAGTATTTAAAGATTTCGAAATGTCATTCTCTGGAGAATAATAAACATTTCTTGAAAATTTGGAGTGATTTGCACTTCTGCTTCTTAAGATAATATGTTTACAATCAGACAATGTTTCACAAAATTTGAAAACGGAGAAAAACGCAAAAGAAGATTAAATATTCTTATCAACCCTATATAAAAATATTTAAGTTAATTTATTGAAAAATAAATTAACTTAAATATTATATTATTAATCTACAATAAATTGCTTATCAAATTTTTTTTTTTTTTAATTTTACTTCACCTCCTCAAGGCCGAGAAGGCCACTACAGACGAGGAGGCTACTTATTTTGTGGCTATGACCCTCTCTCAACTCTATAACTCCGAAACACGAACCTTGACGAACAAGGCCGCTGCGCGGAGAAACGAGTTGAGCGCGGTACTACCAGGGACGTGGTGGGGATCGAACTCGGAACCACTCGTTTATGAAGCGAGCGCTCTACCACTACACCACTACCGCATGAGCGAAGCATCAAAAATTCACTTTTTTTTTCAATTTTATGAAAATATTTGATGTTGTACCACCTTAAAACATTTTAATTTTACCAATTAAAAGCCTTTTTTGCTATAAATATATACGCCCAGATGAAAAAAATTTAAAATGTTTTGTATTAAGGATTTAACATACATAGCTTTCGGTGACCTTTTTCCTGATCCTCTTTTGCTTTGTAAATTTGATATTGTCTTGATGAATGGTTGAAATTTTATTTTTTAAGTCTTGAATTTTGAAAACGCTCCGAAAAATGTCATGCGACTGCCTATGTTAGAGATACTTATGTTAAGTGTTTTTGCATTTAATAAGGTTAATCTAAACATCTAGGACATTAAAAAGGATGAATTTCATTTTTAAAGTAGAAAGTTGTATACATTCATTTGACACTTTTTTTTTTTCGAAATATATAAACAGGGTAAGAGATCTAATGAGCTCTAAGCATGACAATATAGTACGCATATATATATATATATATATATATATATATATATATATATATATATATATATATATATATATATATATATATATATATATATATATATTTAATGATAATAATTGATTTAAACATTGCTTCAAGGGAAATGTTTCAATGAATTATTCAAAAAATTTTCAAGTAAAGAAATAGTGAATAAATAAATATCCGAATAAGTATAAAAATAAAGGTGTCCCCTCACAGTAGTGGTAAGTGTGAAATAAACTTCCCGAGACCGTATTTTAGAGGTCATGAAAGCTAGTATATTGTAATACATAATTCATAACTTTCTTAATAATCACAAATAATGAAAAATTAGAAAAAAATCTTGAAAAAGAGATTTGAAAATACAAAGGAGAACAGCAATTAATAAGAAAAGGTGAAAATCTGATTAGACAGGGATCAACTTATCAAGCAGAGTGAACATAAACTAAAACAAGGCAATTTACTACTTCACACTTATGGATCCAATACAAGCAGGTTCAACAAAGAGCAACCGAAGTGATGTCATAACTAAGACATGTTGAGTACGAGATAAAAAGATTAGAAAATTTAGCAACTTTGGAAACTAGACGACTAAGAGGCGACCTGATTAAGCAATTTAAGATATTTAAAGATATAAAAACCATTGATATAAAATTAAATCAAACGCTAATGAACTTTATTTGCTCATAAGGTCCAGCATCTAACATTAGAAGAACAAAACATAGAATTAAACCTGAATTAGTCATAAATTGTATGAAATGGCAGTATTTTTTAGCAATAGGGTCGTCAATAGATGGTCTACCAGTAGAAGTCGTTCAGTATTACACTTAACAGATTCACACCAATTTGCAATCGTTTGACTTAGAAATAACAACAAATTACAGTAAGTAAATAAAAAAATCACGTTCCAGTGAATGTTAAGAGATTTTTTTAAAAAACCCCAGCTTGGATACTAAAAACTGTTATATAATTATTTATGAATCTTTAGATATTACATGAATCTTTTATGTTTGTGCATGTTTAACAAATAAATATCAATTTTTTTTTTTTTACTTTCAAAAAACTAGAGTTCAAAAGCTATAGCCAACCCTTAAGTTGCTGCAGCCAACTCCTAAGTTACTGCAGCTAACTCCCAAGTTTAAATATGACAATTCATAAATATACAATAAATGATAAATCAAAATATATTTATAAATTAAAAAACTAAAAAAAATCTTTTACAATTTTTTCATATTGCATAATTTCATATCAAAAAATCACACGCAATTATATAAATATACATACACGTATCACAGGTACGCACGTATGTACACACACAAACAACTCTTAACATTAACTCCAGCTTTGTAGAACAGCCTCATACTCATCAGGTGCAATGAACGGTTCATCTAAAGTTCTAGATAAAAATTTTGAAACTAAAATTAAGAAGAAAATAAAACTTGTTTAGATTATTATCAAAACTACTTAAAAATTTTATTTTACATAAATATGTATATACAAAAAAAAAAACAAAAAAAAAATACTTATAAAAACTAAAAAATGCATACAAAACAAAATTATTTTACATAAAAAAGTTATAGATAAAAAAATCTTATTTTGCATAAAAAATTAATACATATATAAAAAAAAAAAAATTAAGACTATTATCAAAAAAATTTATTATACATAAAAATACACTATTGTTTTTTATACTAACATTAAATGTAAATATTAAATTATTTAGTGTGTATTTGTTGTTGAAAACATTATTGACCACAGTTAGGTAATTGTAGGCTTAAAATTCACCGCTCATTATTCTTATTATTGATGGGATTTTCTTTCTTTAAAATATGATGGGCTACATAATATTATTTATTATTAATATATTGTTTTTTTTTCCTTAGGGGCAGTCCATAAATAACATCACGTTTTAGGGAGGGGGACAAGGGTTAAGAGTTTTGTGACAACTCATACGAAGCTTGTTACTAAAGAGTTACGATGTTGTAACGAAGGGGTGGGAGGAGGTCTAAGATAATCAAAAAATTGCGTGACGTAATTTGTAGACGAACCCTTAGGAGAAGCACACACGTCCTATAGTAATAAAAAAAATCAGCAAGAGACAGGGCCGTCCCGAAGGGGAGTGTCGGGGTATCCCCTCCCCCCCCCCAAAAAAAAAAGCTGTCATATAAGCATTTGAGTTAGCGCATTGAGCAAGTTTTGAACTATAGTTGGCAAATTGCAAACATTGAGGACCTTTTTTTTCTTTCCTTTTTCTTGGCAACCCCCCTTTCCCCATGGAAGACGGCCCTGGCAAGAAAAACTTATATAATGGATTATTCATTTAAATGTTTGGTGATGTTAACAGAAGAGGAAAAAAAAAAGTATTTTTGTTTCTTTTTCTGGTTTAAAGATCACGAGGCTCAAAATATTTACTTACGTGGCTGTTTACCTGTTAAATCTGACAACTACATTCGCCGAAAACCTAGAAAACAAGATGCAAAAAAAAAAAAGCAACAGCTTTTTTATTCTGCTACATGTAAAAAAAAACCCATTCCTGTATGTCAGAACATGTAAAGAAAAAACAATTCCTGTATGTCAGAACATGTAAAGAAAAAACCATTCCTGTATGTCAGAACATGTAAAAAAAAAAACCATTCCTGTATGTCAGAACATGAAAAAAAAAAAACCATTCCTATATGTTAGAACATGTAAAGAAAAAACCATTCCTGTATGTCAGAACATGTAAAGAAAAAACCATTCCTATATGTCAGAACATGTAAAGAAAAAACCATTCCTGTATGTCAGTTTTTGCTTTACTGCATAAAATCAAAGTTTCAAGACTAAAAAAAAAAGGTTTCAAACTTTTCTACTAGTATTATTAACAGGAGAGGTAAACATGGCAACCACAAAGACTAGTTAAAATATCAAAAATTGTATTTGTGAACACATTAAAAAGTTTCCAGCTTGTGAGAGTCACTACAGAAGAAAGGACAATCAACATACCAAATATCTTGATGCTTTGTTGAATGTTGCAGCCAAGGCCGACGCGATAGGGGTGTGTGTGTGCGTGAGGGTGTGTGAGTGTGTGTGCGTGAGGGTGTATGTGTGTGACTCCCCTCCCCATTAATGAATTTTTCGTTCATTTAGTCGACAAATTTTAAAAAACCCTTTTTGACTAGTTAGTCGGCAAATGTAGACTCTTTCGACAAGTTAGTCGGTAAACTTAGACAGTCAGTCGGTAAACTTAGACAGTCAGTCGGTAAACTTAGACAGTCAGTCGGCAAATATCGTTAAGGCAGTCGGCAAATTTTAAAAAACGAGGACCTTTTTTTTTATTATTAGTCGGCAAAAGTTGTAATACCACCCTTCCCCCCACGTGACACCTGCTTGCGCCGGCCCTGGTTGCAGGCATGCACAGACTATTTATAAATCAAAATCTAGGTTTGAAAAAATCTTGCAAATCCAGTTTATACCTTGAAATTTTCAACTACAAATTTAATATCAAATTTGAATTTCATAGAAGTAACATTTTTGATACTTGTGAAAGATATTATGTTCAAATTAAGGCAGCTGAATCCAATAAAGATACAAAAACCACTAACGAGCTTCAGACTCAACATGAGCTGCACAAAAAAAATGTTGATGTTTTTATTACTCAATTTATTGAAGCTACACAGTTTGCCAAAAAAAGCATTGGTACAGCTGTAGTTTTTATGGATTTTGAGAAAAATATGCATGGGATCGGACAAGAGTATTATAAGAGACAACTCTGGTTACACTATTTGTGCATCCATGAAACTATTATTGACTGTGCACAAACGTATGTTTACACTGAACATTAAGTTTATTTAATGCAAATGAAGTAATTTCTTGTCTTTATCATTACATTTCAGGCTGACCTGCTGCATTCACTCAACTGGTATTTGTACATAACTGTTTTTCCCAAAATAAAAATCGCTATTTATTTACATATTTGCAAAGTATTGCATGCACACTTGTCTCCATACGAAAAGTTTTAATTAACTACCCCATCCCGTGTCCTGTGATAGGAATTTTGGACGAATAGAGAAGAAAAGAAAGAAAAAAAAAGACAAAAAAAAACCTCGAAATGGGTGTCACTAATCAAAACAACAGATGTAAAGGAACATTTTAATGTTATTTATATTGAACGTCTATTGAACGATAACATGATGAAACCCCCATAGTAAAAGTTCTTATTTTCAAAAAAGCATACAACTTGTTGCTAAGACCCATTAAGAGGATAAGTGAGTTCAGAAGAGATAAGAAGCCACCCATTAATTACGTCAACAATTTTTTCTCCCTCCTCCCCCTTGTCAACAACTTGTCAAACTTCCAGAGACCCCTCTATAAAATAACATCAAAATTACTCCCCCAGCGAAAACCCCCCTCTCCATCCTAATGAATCAATTACGATGATAGTGTTAAACATTTATCACAATTTATGTACAGTTCACCCACAATCTGTGAATGTGCCAATACTCCTCACTTAAACTTTAGACCTAATCCGATTTTGCAGTGAAAACTAATTGTTATTGCAACAATCTAGATCTTCCTAACTTTATGAACGGTAATGTATCTACCTTTTGTCTTCTAGGATTAATTCTTACTTCCAATCTTTCTCGAAAACCACATATCAAACCAATTGCAAAATTAACATCTGCTAAGGCTGCATCTCTTTATTGTGCTTGCCACTTTCTTACTCTGGATTCTATTCTTTATCTTTATAAATCTCAAATCCGTCCTTGTATGGAATACTGTTGCCATATCTGGAGTGGATCTTCGATATATATATATATATATATATATATATATATATATATATATATATATATATATATATATATATATATATATATATATATATATATATATATATATATATATATATATATATATATATATATATATAAATATATATGTATATGTATATATATATATATATATATATATATATATATATATATATATATATATATATATATATATATGTATATATATATGTATATATATATATATATATATATATATATATATATATATATATATATCGAAGATCCACTCCAGATATGGCAACAGTATTCCATACAAGGACGGATTTGAGATTTATAAAGATAAAGAATAGAATCCAGAGTAAGAAAATGTCTTATAGATATTCCAGAAATAGTATAGAATCAAACAGATGTATCTGTATAAAAAATTTACCCTATTCTTCCAAAAATAAAAGAAATCCAAAGATTCCATCTGTTGAAAAACTAACCAATCTCACGCGGATGCCGACAAACCGTCAAATTCTTGGAAACTTCACTTTTTTGTTCAATAGAGAAAGGCGACTGGATCGAATCAAGATTATGATTACAGATATAAAAAAGCTTTGAAAGGAAATTCTAGACTTTCCACTGTTATCCAGCGCACTCATAAGGAAGAAGCTCAACAGTCTGATTGATTTATTTAACAAAAACAAAAAGAAACCACCTGATAAATTCACTGCAACACTTTCTCAGTTATTTGATGTCACCAACGTTAATGGAGAATGGAAAAACACGGAAGATAAAAAGCTCTACCAGAGGCAAGTTGAGAATAGAGGAAAGATTGGTTATTCAATGGTCAAACAAGCTCCTCTGGAATCAATCCACCCAAGAAAATGAATCCGACTATCAAAAGCTCAATCCCAAGCCAGCTCTTCTCAATTGCATCCCACACAAACACTGTCTCAGATTCTTCAGATTCTGAAACTTCTGTTTTCTCACCCGATTCGCAAACCTCTTCTTCTACCTCATTTCCTGAATGCAAACCGAAATACCAAAGAGCCAGCACTACAGCAGCTGGTTTACTAGTATTGAAAAACAACATTTCTACACAAAAAGGACATGACCTTCTCGCCACCATTGCTAAACAAGGCCACGATGTGCCTTGTCAGGCGGGTGTCTGGAAAAGAGTAATTTCTGAAGGACAGAAAATGAAAACCAAAATTGCTCAAAAACTTAAGGGCAAAGATCCATATTGTCTCCAGTTTGATGGTAAAAGAGTGCATGGGGAAGAATATATATATATATATATATATATATATATATATATATATATATATATATATATATATATATATATATATATATATATATATTAGGGTTATAACAAAAAAACAATTTTTATGAAACCACTTGCATTCGAGGAAACTTTATGTGTAATTCAAGAATATAAATTGCATTTTTGATGTTTTTTAAAAAAGTTCCCCCACTCACACAGGAAAAGAAAAATGAAAAAATGTTTTTTTTCAAAAAAGGACATGTTTTTTAGCTTTATCCAAAATAATAAAAGTAATAGCTTATCTAAGCAACTTTTATGAACAAATAAGATGGAGCACATTAGTAATATGTAAAAAATATACATGAAATATTT